CAGGCTGGACATAAGGAAGAACTTCTTTACTGTCCGAGCCCCCAAGGTCTGGAACAGCCTGCCACCGGAGGTGGTTCAAGCGCCTTCATTGAACACCTTCAAGATGAAACTGGATGCTTATCTTGCTGGGATCCTATGACCCCAGCTGACTTCCTGCCCTTTGGGCGGGGGGCTGGACTTGATGATCTTCCGAGGTCCCTTCCAGCCCTAATGTCTATGAAATCTATGAAGTACTGGGCGCCGCACTTCAAAAGGAATGTGGCCAGCCTGGAGAAGGTTCAGAGGAGGGCCACCCACTTGGTGAGAGGGCAGCAGGACAGGCCCTACGAGGAGAGACTGAAGGACCTGAACCTGTTCAACCTCAGCAAGAGGAAGCTGAGGGGAGACCTGGTGACTGCCTACAAAAACTCATCAGGGCGGATCAATAGCAAATAGGTAGAGCCCTTTTCTCCCCACCACCACCTGGGGTGACAAGGAACAATGGTAATAAGCTGATGGAGAATAGGTTTAGGTTAGAGATCAGAAGGCAATATTTTACAGTTAGGGTGGCCAAAATCTGGAACCACCTTCTCAGGGGCAGTGATTTTTGGTGCCTCGGCACAATAGGATTTTCTTGCCACATGAGAGCCTCTTGCACAGCATCATTCATTCCTGCCTGTGACAGGGGGTCAGGCTAGATGATCTGATCAAGTCCCTCCTGACCCTACCTACTATGAAACTCTCTCTCTCTCTCACCTTCCCTCAAATATCCCAGGTATCCCAAGCACACACATACATACTGTGCCATCCAGGTTAGGAACTTATTTATGTGTAGGTGGGGAGAGAGAGAGAGAGAGAGAGAGAGAGAGTGTGTGTGTGTGTGTGTCATTGTCTGTATGATATATAAATTAGTGATCTGTGTATGTGTACTGAGCGTGCGGGTATGGACAATTGATTTTTGTCTAACTTTTGGGGTGTATAGTGTATGCGTTTGAATTGGTGATAGGTATGCATGTCCCTAGGCTGGTTTGGAAGTGTATGTGCCTGAGCTGGTAGTGTGTGCATGTGTATGCACCTAACTGATTTGTGTGTTTGTATATGTGCAATTGTGTCACACTCTCCTGTCTAACAGCACAATATTGAGATCCTGAGAGTTGGCCTGACCCCATAGGGCTACACAGTCTCCCCTATGCCATATGAGACATGTGCACCCCTTCCTCAACCATACAAGCCACTCCAACCTGGAGCAGACAGCAGTTCAGTCCTGGATCCAGGACCAAAGCTGGAGCTGAGCTGTTACCTACCCCAGACTAGTATTCATCTCTATGCCAAGGCTTCCTCCACCCACTTTTGACTGGGGGAAAAGAAACCTTCATCTTGGATTCAAGAAAATCTGGCACGTAAGAGTTTTTAACTAGAAGATGAATAATACTCAAAATTACAGCTTTAAATTCTTTGAGAAGACTTAAGGAGTCTAGGAATGTGTTTTACATAACAGAATGGGCAACATAATGTATGGAAAATCTAGGTATGTTGTAGCAAATTGAGTTACCAGTATGTAAAGTGAAGATCAATGAAAATAAGAAATTAAAATATATAAAACTGTTATTATCCTGAATCTGTCACTGAAGTCCATTTAATGCCCGGCTTCAAAGGAATAATTGGCTTGGGTGTTTAAGCACAAAATGGGAAAAGAAAAAATATTCAATAGCAGCATCTGTTACTTTAGCTTTTGTGGGTCCTGATGGGAAAAAAAAGTGATAGTTTAACTGCAAAGGAAGTATGGATTACTCTAGAAAATGGAAAGGAATGTTTAAAGTAAGCTCTCCTGAAATGTAACTGGAACCAATAGGAAGGTGGGTGGTGATGTGAAAATAGACCTAGTAGCTGAAAGTTTGTACAGTTTACTTGCATTCTTTAATATATACTTGGACAAATAACTAGCAAGAATATAAGAGCATTGGCTCAGACATGCAGGGATGAAATCAGGAAGTCCAAAGCGCAATTGGAATTGCAGCTAGCAAGTATGTGAAGGCAAACAAGAAGAGTTTCTACAAGTACAGTGGAGTCGCATCATACACACATTTCACTTGCACAAATTCAACTATATGCGCTAGGCAAAAAAAGAGAGAAAAATAACAATTTAAATAGTGCAGGAGATTCCACCCGCCATTCCGGTCCACTTCCAGGTCCTCCAGGGAGCAACAGAGGGCCTCCCCCGCTTGGTAATCAGATCGGCCACAGGGGGACCCCAGGTGTCCCCTAGACCCAAGAGGCACCAGTAGCCAAGCTGGGACCGGGTAATTTTGACTATACACGATTTTCACCTTACCCACTGACTTTAGAACCTAACCCCCGCGTAAGATGCGACTCCATTGTACGTTGGTAGCAAGAGGAGAATCAGGGAAAGTGTGGGTCCCTTACTGAATGGGGAAGCAACCTTGTGACAGGATGCAGAAAAGGCTGAAGTGCTCAATGCCTTTTTTCAGCTCAGTCTTCATAGGCAAGGTCAGCTCCCAGACTACTGCACTGGGCAGCACAGGTTGGCAAGGTGGTAAGCAGCCCTCACGGATGAAAGAACAGGTTAGGGACTACTTAGAAAAGCTGGATGTGTATGAGTCCATGGGGCCAGATGGGGTGCACCTGAGGGTGCTGTGGGAGTTGGCTGATGTGGCCAGACTACTGCACTGGGCAGCACAGGTTGGCAAGGTGGTAAGCAGCCCTCACGGATGAAAGAACAGGTTAGGGACTACTTAGAAAAGCTGGATGTGTATGAGTCCATGGGGCCAGATGGGGTGCACCTGAGGGTGCTGTGGGAGTTGGCTGATGTGGCTGCAGAGCCATTGGCCATCATCTTTGAAAACACATGGCAATCAGGAGAGGTCTCAAATGACTGGAAAAGGGCAAACATAGTACCCATCTTTAAGAAAGAGAAAAAGGAGGATCCAGGGAACTACAGACCAGTCAGCCTCACCTCAGTCCCTGGAAAAATCATGGAGCAGATCCTCAAAGAATCCATTTCTAAACACTTGGAGAAGAAGGTGATTAGGAACAGTCAGCATGGATTCACCAGGGACAAGTCATGCCTGACCAACCTGACTGCCTTCTATGACAAAGTGACTGGCCGGTTTTGTTCAATGACTTCACCAACGATAAGGAAGATGGCAGAGTGCACCCTCAGCAAGTTTGCAGATGACACCAAGGTGGAGGGAGTAGTAGATATGCTGGAAAGTAAGTCTACGATTCAGTGACCTAAACAAATTGGAGGACTGGGCCGAAAGGAATCTCATGAGGTTCAAAGACATGTGCGAAGTCCTGCACTTAGGACAGAACAATCCCATGCACCAGTACAGGCTGGGACTGACGGGCTGGGCAGCAGCTCTGCAGAAAAGACCTGGGGGTTACTGTGGACAATAAGCTGAATATGAGCCAACAGTGTGCCCCAGTTGCCAAGAAGGCTAACTGCATATTGGGCTGCACTGGTAGGTGTGTTGCCAGTAGGTCAAGGGAAGTGATTATTCCCCTCTGTTCAGCAATGGGAGGCCACATCTGGAGTACTGTGTCCAGGTTTGGGCCCCCCACTACAGAAAGGATGTTGACAAATTTGGAAAGAGCCCAGCAGAGGACAACATAAATGGTGAGGGGGCTGGGAGAAATGACTTATGAGGAAAGACTGAGGGAACTGGGCTTATTTAGTCTAGAAAACAGGAGACAGAGGGGATTTAACAGCAGCCTTCCACTACCTGAAGCAAGGTTTGAAAGAGGATGAAGCTAGACTGATCTCACAGTGATGACAGAAGGAGCAATGGTCTCAAGTTGCAGCAAGGGAAGTTGAGGTTAGATATTAAGAAGAACTGTCTCACTGGGAGGGTAGTAAAACACCCTCAACCCAGCCAGGGCTGAAGCTGCTGCCACTGATGTTGCCTGGCTGGGCTGGGGTCAGGCCTCTAGTGACGGTGCTGAAGCCAGAGCCAAAGCAGCTGCAGAAGGTAAGTGGCAGAGGGACAGGGGGGGGGGGGGGGGGGGGGGGGGGGGGGGGGGGGGGAAGAGTGGCATTTGGAGTGGTGGTCAAGCGGTAAGGGAAGCAGGCAGCTGGCAGTAGGCACAGACAACCAGTGGTAGGGAGGGCAAAAACTAGTGTAAAGCAAGTGGGAACAGGCAACAGAGGGGCAGGCATTGGGGGGGGCAAAGGCAGCAAGGGGTATGGGTACGCAAGGGTGGTAAGGCACCAGGGTATGGCCCTTCACTTCCTGTTGCTGCTTTCATCTGCCACATGGAGCAGATGAATTTAAGACAACCTCCAACAATTAGATTCTATACATGGAAAAAATTAATTCATTTATAATTTTCTATGTATGGAATACAATTATTGGAGCGGGGGAGAATCATCTTAAATTTGACATCTTTGGTTCAGTTAAATATATATAAATAGTACTTCAGAGGATCCTAAGGCACTTTACAAAACTACTGAAGTCTTAAAATACCCTGTGAGTAAGTAAATATAATTATTTCCCACTTTACAGATGCGGGGACTGAAGCAGAGAAAAGTTCAATCACTTGCCAACAGTCACAGAGGCAATCAATGGTACAACTAGGAAGGAAAACCCCCTCAGATTACAGCTTCTTTGCTTTAGCTTCTATAGCATGCTTCTTCCTTTGAGAACAAACAGTAATACTTAAGTCTGTGTCTTCAGCAGCTGCCAGTTCAAGTGTGTTAACTGATCTTCCTAAAGACAAGTGAGAAAATAACTGGGGAAAAAATCCCAAGGCTAATTATATTTCTCTAAATATAATCAAGTTAATTTCAACTGCTGACTGTATTTAAAAGCTACCAACACTAAAAATTCTTAGGAACACTTCATATATTTGAAAGTCATATTTCCTAAAGATAAATTCATGGTAAAGAATCTATAATTATTTGCTCTGAGATGTAAAGTCATACAGAACTACCAGCACGTCTCAGACAGAATTTAGCCCTCAATAAAGGAATATTTTTTCCATGCACTTGTATTTCTTCTTACCAGTGTCCATTTGCCAGACATACACAGATCCATCTGAACATCCTACCACCAGGTAATCATCTGAAGGTCTCCACTTAATTACTTGAATAGGGAAAAGATGACGAGAAGCAAGCATGATGCATTTTTTCTCTCGTAGACTCAGAAGTCCTACTGAGTGGTCACTGGCAACAGAGCAAATGCAGTGCTGGACTCTTGCCTGAAGACAAAAATAAATCATATATATGTATTAATCATGTACCTATTACTTTGACTTCTGTGACACTTTTTATAAGAACACCCAAGGTACATGTTGGATAATAAAAATTTATGTTTTATAGAAATGATGCCAAATGTAAGATCCTATTCCACCTAAGTGGACTTAGACACCTAAATGTGATCCGATTCCACCCTGTTCAGGACCCCAATAAACAGTTCATGCAAAAAGTTGACTTGCTGCTTTCTGTGACTTAGTCTTATGGCTCGGATAACAACATTAATATTTTTTCTCTCTTTCATTATTAGGAACCTGAGCAGGGTTATTTATTCTTACTTTATGTTGTTCTTCATCATTTTCCTGTAATGAAATAGCTTACCCAACACAATGAAAGACACTGCCTGCAGTCCTGCAGCAAGTCTGTGCCACTGATTTCAACTGAGCTCTGCTTGTACAGACATAGTTTAAGTCCATACTACTACTAGGAAGACTTCATCTCTACTTTATTTATTTATTTAATCATTTTAAATGGCCAGAATATACCCAATACAAGCTAAAGATTTTGAAGGACATTTCTATCAGAACAGGCATCTAATATTCTTCAAGTTTCATTTTGTATTTAGTTGACTTTTCAAAACAGTATTTTTTGCAAGAAAAACCATTAAGTCAATACCTTATTTTCTATTAGCATAAGCTGTGATTTTTCTTACTATCACAATAACTGAAAGCACAAAACTGTGGCTTTGTAACTAATCAATAAATCAAATAATTTAAAAACTGCATTCATCATATTATGTTTTTACATCCACTTTACTAATAACAATTCAAACACAGTAATAATTTATCCAATTAGTATTTGTTATAGCACACAACATAGAATCAAATTCAGGCTCAGCAAAGAATGAAGCATTTGTTAAATTTCAAGAGCCCATTTAAATTACTTTTCTGAATATAGACTTAAGGCACAATACTTATGAAGACTTGTGCATAGGATTGATTCAGACCGACTCAGTGGGAAGTCCAAAGATCGCAGTGTCAAATAAAAGTATTTATGGGATATGAGTTATTTTAGTATTTTAGGTTAATATTATGCATTTAATATTATAAAAAGATGGTTTCAATTTAATCCATCCAAAAACACAGCTAAAGGAACACAATAGAAACACATACTAATTAGACTGAGGTAATTTTACAATAGCATCTGGAGATATTGAATCATGAATTCTACTAGTATAGAAATGAACCCTCAGCCCAAAATCATCAACAACTTCCAAAATGCAATCATAACCAAAGGGTTATGTAAAATATGAAACATCATAACCAGAAGGAAATATTATTCTACCTCCTGCTTGCCACCAAACAACTTCGAGGTAAACAGACTATTCCAACTTTTCTCTGAGCCTAATCCGCATAAAATGAACTGTTCCAAACACGAGATTTTACCACACCTTCAACTCTCCTATGAAATAGGAACTTTCATTTCTACCTAGGAGAACTTTTACAATCTTTTCTCCTACGCCTGAAGAAGGGTGCTTGTGCCTGAAAGCTGGCAAATAAAGATTTTTTTTTGCAAAAATCTAGTTGGTCTAATAAAAGACATCACCTCTATCAAAAGTTCTGAATCATACAAAGATATTATCTTCTTTTCAATAAATACCAAATTCTGCAACTGTTAAACTAGCACAATGAAAGTGTACCAGATGAGCTATATTCTGATCCAAACAGAGTTTTCACATCAGCTTCAATGGGAGAAAGAATATGCCCCATGAATTCTTTAACGCCTCAAAAGCACAACACATGACCAAGGCACTATGAAATCCACAATCTTACAGTGATATCAAAGTTATATACAAGCATACATTAGGAAAATCATGCCCAGTGCTAAATAGGCATCAAAAGTATAGATATATAGACCACAGAGCAGGATTCTAAAGCATATAGACCTTGCATTAATATAATGCCCTGACCGGTTGGAAATGAAGGAAAATATACATGATTAGTTTCACTGTTGTTTTGACTTGTTCTAAAATATTGACAGTAACTGTGCCTTGAATACCTTCATTAACATTTGACAGGACAAGGCATGGGGTGCTACTGTCCTTTTAGAAACAACAACAAATTGTTCATCAATGTACAACTTAACATATGGAAAGCATGGGAAAGTACTTCTTTGATTACCATTCTTTTTAGGAGCTAAGACAAGTGCTAGTCAACATAAGACTACTAAAAAGAAAAGCAAAATATACACTCCACAAAAGTTAACCAAGTATAAGCTTTACTAATTGATTCAAAGTATTCTATCTAAGTATGCAGAATGTAAATCAGATTTAAATTTTATTTAAAAAAGGGTTTTCCTCCAAAATAGAGGTTCTTTACTTAGAATGATATATATTTGCTAATTCATGTATGCAAGAGTGCCCTCTACAGCTTACTTTTGTGATTCAGTTATTTTAAAAGCTATTTAAAAATAGTTTCATGAAAATGGAAAACAGAAAGAGTATCATCATCCACATTCAGGTCTTGATCCTATAAATGTTTACTTATACAAATAGTCCATAGAATTATTTGTGTAAAGTGACAGAAAGGAGTAAGTGTTTGGAGAGGAAAGGGAGGGAAGAAGAAAGCTTGCATAGTACATCGGGGGGGTGGGGTATGTGTGTGGAGGAGGGAGGAAGAAGAAGGGGGCTTGATAGGAAAGTCACATTGCCTTATATCAGGTCTGAAGCCCCCCAGCAACCCAGAAGTTGGACAGCTCTGGTATAAAGGTAATGGTGGCACTATTTAAATACAGGAATATTTAATTAACTTTACTTTATGCCCATATGTTTATAACATTTTACTATACATTAATATGCATCACAGACAAAAATCTATGCTTATAATTATTCTCCCTCAGTTACCCTGTAAAGTGTAATTACTTTTGAAAACTAAAATATGAGAAAAAAATAATCCACCTGTGAAAAATATATTAGTGATCTACTTCTCAAGTGAAAGAAGCAGTGCTTCACTGGATACTATGGGTCTCGGTTAGATTTTTAAAAAGCCTTCTACAGAAAGAAACAAGCACTTCTCACTAAACATGGCATGAAGTATAACCTGCATATACAGTATACTAAATAAGCGTTCTGGTCAGGAGTTAGGTGAGGTTTTATTGAACCTAGTGAGCAGAGACAGTAATTCAATAATCAGCACATAATGTGGCTAGCTCTCATGTGCTCAGAGGAATGTTTGCTTGGGATTTAGCAAACATGCTCAGATTGTGTTCTTCGCTTTTTAAGTATCATCCAGGCTCTTTGGTCTTTAAGCACATCTACTGATATGTTCTAAACTACCAGAACAACTGAACAGGTCATTAAGGTAGAAGTAATTCTTCCACTTGGTAAATTACCATTTGAAGCAAAGCTGATAAGACAAATAAATATACTGTGTGCTTTTCTGAAAAGGATGCCAGTTTTAAACTCTGGAGGAAAAAACAGAACTGTAACAAAAAAGCTTAATTATTATGGTAACTCATCTGCACTGCTTTCAAGCTGGCAGCAGTTGCACTGCCAGCTGGTTTCTCCAAGGGTTCTTAAATCTGGCCATAAAAGCTTACTCAAAGAAAAAGGAAGACTAGGGATTATTTTTTAGCATTTTTTAAAGGAGGATTTAAAATTATGCAGATCAATAAACAATAATTTTCTAGTGTATGGTTTTAAGTGTTAGATGAAATTCAGATAACCGATTCAGAGAGTAAAACCTTGCAGTATAAGAAAGTATAGTTTTCTCCACAACTTGCTTATTCCTAGAGCCTACAAAATACATTCCTTCAAGGGGAAGGCTGAGGAGCTTTAAAAACTGAGAAGATACAAACACATGGCTACCCTTAATTTTTGTCATGTTTAATTGAAAGAAGCAGTAGATCATCCTTCACAGGATAGATAAATTGTGGTTTAAAAAAAAATAGATTGGGTATTTACAGCAATATGAAGACCCTAATTTACCATAGTTATTACAATTAAATAAAGATGAATAGGAGACTAAAAGGAGACTATATTTAAATAAAGATGAAAAAGGAGACCATATTTAGTGCTAATTTTTTTTAAATTTTTCAAAGAGGGGACATCTCTACCATGGGAGAATGTGCCCTCTCCTGCCAATCAGCGACTGGTGGGATACGGAGCATTCTCCTGGGGTGGGGACCCTTCCAGGATATCTATGGCAACTGTTGCTTCTCAGCAGCTGCTAGCTTCCATTTAACAGACAGCTCTCTTCCCAGACAACAGAGAAGAGAAGAGACACTTAATGGGCTCCCTAGGAAAAGGGGCGGCTCAGGGAACAGTTCTCTAGTGCCCCCTTGCTGGAATGCTTGCCTGTGAAGCTCTCCAGCCGTAGCACTGAAGGACCATCTATACAGTCCAGGTCCCAAGTTATTTTTCTACCAGAAGAAATTTCTTTCAGTAGAAATGAATGTCCATACACAGAACGTATTTCCTTCTGAACAAAACTTCTTTCAGAAACAAGAATCAAGAGCCCCAGGGCCACAGACTTGACACCTACATTCTATAAATTGTCAAAGGAGAGGTAGTAAGAACAAGCATGAGGATGGAAAGAGTAAGCAGGCTTGCAGATTACAAAGATAGAAAAAGCACCAAAGCTGGGGCATATACAGCGATGAGTGAGGAAAGCAGGATGGTCAAAGCACGGAAGGTATATTAGCATTACTGTCAATAAAAAATAAGTCAGATTATAAATAAGTGCCCTTTTGCCCCCGAGTCTAACTTTAAGGTAGCAATTAAGACAGAATTCAGAGTTTGGTCCTGAGGATAGATCCGTAGACAAACCTTTGCCTCTACTGTCATTGATCTAAGAGTGAAGCATTATTCTACTAAGTCTTCCTAACGTATAATTTAGCATGCAATACCATATTCTGGCTGATCACAGGTTCAAGTAAAACCCAGCTTCAGTACTCACCAAAGATACTTCAGAAACTTGTTTTTAATTTTAAGAACAGTAATTTGCAACAGTACTCCCAGTTCATTAATGTGAGCTAGCAAGGTTCTACTGTGTTACTAATCAATTCTAATGCACACTAGGGAAGACAAAAATATCAACAGTACAACCTACATATTGCAGGGTATCAAGGAATGCATGCGATTATAGAAGCGTAGATTAAATTTCAGTTTTTAAAACAAAAGCAACATGATATTGACAGAAAGTGTTTCGAGCAAAATATGGTTAGCATGAGATAATAAAGTAACAAGATTGAATAGTCATGTACCTACCCACCATAAGAGCTGCACAAGTAACCACCCTCTCTGTGCTTTACCACTCCTGTCTCTCTGCTTTCTCCTGACCTGGGGCCATGTTCACATTTCATTACCATCAGCACCTCCTTTGCAGCCTCTCTTAACACCCATGTCAAAGGGCTTTAATATCATAAACATAGAAATGCAAGATAAACAGACTTTAGCAAAAAAAATAAATTACAGAACAACCAAGTTGCGTACTAAACTGACAGGCATTATTGTTTCCCCTCTTACCACCAGTTGGGACTTTGTCTTCATGGTTCTTACAGAACATATGGCTCACTGCTGATGCTATGTATTAGACAGAAAACCAACTGACTTTTAAAAAGAAATAAAGCATTGCTTAAACTACTCTTAACTGTCCAATGAGCTAAAAATCGAAGTCACAGGGTAGTTTGTTTTGTTTCTAACTCAGAAGTTAACTTCTTTTAAATGTCAGGGAATTATGCTTTGGCCAACATAAGCCACCCAAAGCATAAATCCTTTGTGTTTTCTCCAACGTATCAGTGTATATTCACAATCTTTAGAAGGATTCTATTTATATAAGTTTTGAAAGAAGATTGTATTTATGATACAAGCATGTATTTAGTTAGTTACACTTACACTACAGTTTTCCGGTGGAACTAGGAGCTGCGTTATCTCTCCGCCATGCACGCAGAAAATATGTTTCATTTCGCCAGAAAATATGTCCCATATAATGACTGAAAAATCCACACCACCTGATACCAAATATTTTTGGTCATAACGAGATGAAACCTGATGAGGGTACAGTAAACACGTGATTTTGTTACGATGACCTCTAAGAGCTCTGTGAGGTGGCCAACCTAGAAAATTAAAAAAGGGGAAAAAAGAAGCAGGTTTAAAATAAAACAAACCATTAATTCACATATATTAAATAATAGGTTTTACATTTCTGTTTCACATTTTAAAACAGAATTAAAAAATGGCAGGAACTATTGTTAAGTTGTATGTGAATTTTCGTTCCTGTTTTTAAATATTCATGACATTTTACATTTTCTGCTTGCACTGAACTCTTCTCGACTTTTTTTTTTCTTTTTTTTTTTTTTTTTAACTCCAAAGAGTGAAAAAAGCTAAAAACAATTGTTTTTTACCCTTAAATGAGAAAATGACAACAGAATGATCTATATAAGGAGGCTGTCAGAAGGAAAACACCTTCATCATCATAAAACCCAGACTTCTGGAAACTTGAACAAATACACAATATTCATATATATTATGTGTGTGACTATGTCCCAGCCACACTAGGGATGATGCCATATTGTTTTAGTCAGTGCATTGTATTTTGCATTTTCATGCCGAAGAGTTTGAAATTTAACATGGAGATAAGTCACTGTACACAGCTGTCAGCACCTGCATCTCTCCACCCTTCTCATCAAGGGTCTTGTAGACCAGCATTTCTCAACCCATGGGTTGTGACCCAGAAGTGGATTGCAAAAACATACGAAAGGGTCATGAACAAACTTTAAAAAGGGATTCTTCCCTAAAGGAGAAAAACATGGGAAACTGGGCAGCAGGGGAAAGGCAATTAATGCTCACACAGCTCTCCACTACCAAGTTTCCGTACCCGTGGGGAGACCCATAAGCCAGATGACATGGCTCTGGAGGCAGGATCCGCCTCATGGGCCAGAGGTTGAATACCAGTCAGTGTTCTATACAAATGGAACAACAAGCAGGTTGCCAATTACCATAATTACTCAAGTAGAAGATGACCCTGATTATGAAATGACCCCCCAATAATTAGATTCTATACCTGAAAAATTATAAATCTGTTATAATTTGCCAGGTATAAAATCTAATTATTGGAGGTTTGCTTGACTTTTTCAACCTCTCACTAGTACAGCAAGGAAAATAAATCTGAGGGGTCAGGTAGTCCCTTTGCCTTCTTCCCCCCACCCTCCTTTCCCAGTTTCTTCCCTCCTCCTTACTGTCAGACCCTGCTCTCCTTGAACAGATGGAAGGAAGGAAATCTGAAAAAAACTGACCTTGAAATTAACATAACTGTATAAATTTGCATATAGTACCCATGGACTTAATTCATCCATAATTGATGCATTTGAACTATTTTTGCAACTGCTACAAGTTTTAGCACAGGTATTCCATAAACATACTTTTAAGTAGCACTTTAGCACGTACTTAGAGACGCTACAAACTATGCACAATATTTGTCCAAAGCCAAAAGGGCCATGATTAGCAGTGCTCCAATACAGATTTTTAGGGCCGATACGGATAGCTGATTTTTAAGGAGGCATATCGGCTGATACCAATTTGATTTCCGATACACAGCCTGGCAGCTTGAAGAGCAGCATCCAGCTGGTAAGTCTGTTGTGGTGGAAGGGGAGAGGGAAGGGAAGCAGTGTGTGGGTGGGGGGGGGGGGGAGGTCTGATCGAGGCCCCTGCAACAGGGGAGGGAGTGGGGCTGGGGCTGGGACAGGCACTGCCCAGCCACAGCAGGGCAGGGCATGGGACAGAGCCACAAGTGGCTTGTCTGGGGGGAGTGGGGGGCTCCCATCACTGCATGCACCCTGGGAAGACATGGGGGAGTGACACCCACATCTGCGTGGGGCAAAGTGGCGCAGGCTGGTGCTGCGGGCTGGGACTATGCCGGGCTGGGCTTGGGGTAGGTAGTGGCAACAGTGAGGGACAACGGGGCTGGGACTGTAGACTCCTCAAAATTTGCCAAAGCCCACCCCCTCCCAGCACCACCACCACCAACCCTGAGCACAGCCCACTCCAACCCCCACCAGGAGGAGCCCAGCAGAGCCCTGGCCCCAGTCTGCACTGGCAGCCTGCCTCACCCCACGCAGATCTGGAAGCTCAAGCCCCCCACTCCCTAAGTCCTCCCAGATTACGCACAGTGGCGGAAGCTGCCTCTTGGGCAAGTTGCGGCTCCATCCTATGCCCACCCCAGCTGGGCAGCACCTGCCCCAGCCGCAGCCCCTCCCTCAGTGCAACAGCCTTGATCTGCCCCTCCATGCCCCTTCCCTCCCACCACAACAGACTTACCAGCTGCATGCAGCTCTGCAAGCTGCCGGGCTGTGGTCCGCTCAGCCTACATGCTGCACTGTGGCTGCACACATGCACAGGGCATTTATTGGCCACGTTAATCGGCCATACCAGGACATTTCCGATACAAACAATTTTCTTTATATTGGTGCCAATCCAATATCAGACATGATGTATCAGTGCACCTCTAGTCATGATTTACCACATAGTTCATTGGCCTGGGCCTCAACAGTCAACAGCATTTCAAGCCATGGTGACCCCACAGCTCAGCACTGCTCAGTATGTGTGTACACTCCAGATAGTCCCCCACAAAGGATCTATGTGCCAATTAGCCCCCACTCATGATTGGAACTGGGTGTTCTTTGTCACAAGCCCTGAGATTCTCCAAAAATGTATACGCAGATGAGATACAGGGCAACCAGGTCTCTGCCCTCATGAAGGGCAGCGCCACACTAATCATATGCACCAGGCTGAGAGAAGGGGTGATATAGGGATTCTGGTTGAACTGTTTGTGACCCTATTTGGTGATGTTTGCCAGACATTTAAGGCTGGTGAAGAAACAGGAATCATTAGAAATGGAAAGGAAAGGTACAACTCAGCTGTGGAAGTGAAGACAAACTTGAAATGTATTCAGTGTAGTGGCTTACCCCAACTTGAAAAAGAGTTGATGCAATGGGCACTGCCACATATCTCATTCAGACAGGCTGCACTAACCTAGTCCTATGGTAGCTTCTCATGAGTATGTTGGCCTAATATGGGCCATGTGTTCTATAGTCATGCTCAGTGCTAGCTGCATTTAATCAAATTCAGGGTTGGTTCTCATTATGGAGCAGATATTGCTTTTACTTGTACAGCAAGATCAGCAATGTATTTAAAGGTGGCTTCCTTGTATACGAATGTAAGGCATGGGACTTTTTACCCCACATTGATTGGTGAGATGGGCTGATCTTGTATTTGAGTGAATACAGTAGTTCAAGAGGTGGGCCACTGGGTCTATGAGAATTAGATTCAGAACACTTTAAAATGAAATGAAAGACCCTAGGCACTCAGAGATTCTGAATTTCTACCAGGCCAATAATGCCCGGTGACCCAGCCACAGGAGCACAGCTTCCAGCCCCCCACAGCTGCAGACCAGCTCCCTTCTGGCTGGAAGCCATGCCCACACTGCAGCCTTGAAAAGGGGGGAAGGGAGACAGGGGGAGGGGACAAGTAACAGTGGTTCAGGTGCAGCTTCTCATGGCTCAGCCACAGCATGGGCATGAGCACGGGAAAAGCCCTGCAGCTCTTCAGGCTGGATTCCGTGGTTCCACGAGCTGGATCTAGCCCACAGGCCACATGTTGCCGATCTCTGACCCAGACAAAATAGCCAAAGGACAACTGACCTCTCTAGCCAAAGTGAAGGGGGAAAAATGGAGCCTCATTCATCTTATAAGAAACCACATGGAACGGGCCAAAAGATCCTCTTGTCTCCACAGAAAGAATAAGGGAAACAAAAGAAATTTTAAAAAGTCCAAAATAAAGTTTAAAAAAAAAAAAGGGGGGGGGGGGGGAAAAACATCAGATTCTAGGAGCACCTATAGGCTAAAAATGCAGTCTGATGAGATTACAGCTTTATCTGAAGTCAAGACAGTTACGAGGAACTGGGGGGTTGGGAAGTGTGGATACCCTTTATGCCCTCAGTATGAACAACTAGAAGAAACGGAGCATATATCCGACACAGGTACTGCTAAGGCAAAACGGTCTCAAAGCTCACACAGGTACAGTGAAATGTGCATCTGGATTAGCATTCTAAGGACAAAAAAGGTATAAACATCAAGGACAACTAATAAAAAGCACTTTTTTTAAACCCTCTTTTTGCAGTCATCACCTGTATAAAACATATAAAGCACAGGCAAGTAATGTGCTGACCTTTTCACAAATATGATTGTAAAATAGCTTTTTCATTTACCTGCACTTGAAAGCATTTAAAGCTAGAGGTGCACCAATACATTGGTCCCATACCATTGGCACCAATAAAAGAAAAATTGACGTTATCGGCAATCAGCTGTTTTTGGCTGATGTGGCCGATAATGTCGGCAATAAATGCCATGTGCATGTGCGCAGCTGCAGCTTAGCATGCAGGTGGCCAGGAGCTGAGCCCAGCAGCATGGAGAGCAGTGTCCAGCTGGCAAGTCTGTTGTGGGGGAAGGGGCATGGGGGGGGCAGACTGAGCCTCCCACAGTGAGGGAGGGAATGGGGCTGGCGCTGGGGCAGGCACTCCACAGCTGGGATGGGGCGGGACATGGGGTAGACCTGTAAGCAGCTCATCCGGGGGACTCACGGAGGGAGGGGGGCAGCTCCATGTGCCGCACACATCCTAGGAGAGCATGGGGGGGAGCATGTGCCCCCTGGATCTGAGTGGGGTAAGGGCAGGATGCTGCTGTGGGCTAGGGGCAGTACCAGGCTCCTCCCAGTGGGGGGGTTGAGCTGGGGCTGCACTTGGGGGTGGGGCAGCAGTGGTGCTATGGGGTGGGCTGTAACCACCCCAAAATTCACTGTAAACCCCCACCCTCCATAGCAGCACTGCCACTGCCCAGCCCAAGTAGAGCCTAGCCCAGCACCCGCCCACCAGGAAGAGCCCAGTGCCACCACTGGCCCCAGCCCACAGCAGCAGCCTGCCCACCATGCGCAGAGCTGGGAAGGGGGAGCACACATCCCCTATGGCCTCCTGGGGTGTATGCAATGGCAGGAACCATCCCCCACCCCCCCATCCCCAGATGAGCCGTGCCTCCATCCCATCCCACCTAAAACGTGCAGCACTTGCCCCTGCCCAAACCCCACTCCCTCCCTTACTGCAGAGGCCTCCATTGCCCCCCTTACCCCCTCCTCCACAACAGACTTACCAGACAAATGCTGCTCGCCATGCTGCCAGGCCACATATCAGCAATCAGATCTGTATCGGCTAATATGGCTCGTTAAATATTTGCCATCGTTATTGGCCCAAAAAATCTCTATTAGTGCATCCCTATTAAAAACAATAATAATTTGTTCCAAAATTCTGAAGCACAACAGCATTAGGTAAGATCGAGGCCCAAATGGCGTTAATACACTGGCTTCCTATGCAGGCTATATTCAGTAGTTGTGCTCCAAAACAGAATTTTTCCTCATACATCCCCCACTTGTAAGTCAAGCACACTTTTGAGGGATGTGGCAGATTTTCCCAAGCATGCCTGTTCACCAGTGCATTAAGGTGTCTTCTCTAGTCTCCATGTGCATCTTGGAGTCCCAATGCTCAACTGTGCTTGCCTGCTGCATCGGCACAAGGACATTAGAGATGGGAAGAATTCTCAAACCTTCGTACAACCTTCCCTTGCTTAGGGCACGAAGATGGAAGCCGGTACCTAGTTAGTATGTTTTAGTATACACTAGTTCATGCTTTAGCATATTTTAGGAATAGCATTCATGAATTTGTGAAGGAAGTTGGATCAGACGAGCCTTGAGGTCCCAACATTACGATTCTACTAAATAGACTATTTAATCTACATAGCAGACTTCCCTGCAGATAAAAGAATTTGGGGATCACCAAGGTTCCTTCTTCATTTCCACCCCTATTCTAGAAACAGATTTGTAAGAGGACTTAGTGCTGAAAAGTGCTGGTCTCCTGAGCGTCTTTCATATATCAGTGTAGCTTGAAGATGATCATCTTTGCATGGCTAATATTTGTTTGCATACCTCTCCTGAACATATGCTCTCCTTGAAGAAGCTGAACTATAGCAGTTTGTGTTGCTGGCACAATAATAATGCTTCCATCTTCACGACCACAAACCAGGCGTCCATGTGCTGGAATATACACACTAGCTGTAACTTTGAGCGGTTAACCGCTGTTTGGTATTAAACTCAATTGATCAATAATTCCAGCAGGATGGGGAGTGAGTTTATTAAAAGCTTCTTGCAAGGAAGTTGAAACTGTCATTTGCAACCCTGTTTAAAAAAAAAGAGTTATAAAAATAAGATTATTTTCTATTTCAGCAGCTTCCTAGATAAAATTCCAAATCCCCTCTCTCAACACTAACATCATCCCATGAATTAAATACAAAGTAGATAGTGGAATTAATTTAGCCACCACAAAAATGCAGCCATAAACACACATACAAACACTAAACAGGGTGGTAGAAGAACTGAAAAATAATGTATCCAGTTTAAACAAGAAGAGAAACTTACTTCAGCAGAAATAATCAACGTAACTTAAATTTGGGAAACAGACCCAGTTAATAGCTTCAAAACTCTCCTGAAAAACACTGCGAGTCAGCTGGGTTAAAAAAACCCTATATTTTTTATTTATATTAATTTTTCTTTATTAAAAAAACAACTACTTAAAATTAAGGCAAGTAAACCAGATTAAGCTAGCCTACATTTTCTATAATTCTTAAAACCATTTAAATTAAATAGAAAATAAACGTTCAACCAGTACATTTGCTATTGAAAGTTCAAAGAAAGCCAAACCACTGAAATGGCTAAGCACCTCAAACCCAAGTTTGCTGAAACACTGAACTGATGTAGTGAGTAAAAAGCAAACAAAAAGACAATATTTTCTGTTGCTCCAATTACATCGATTAAATAACTAGTTCATTCAAAGTCGAAACACCCATAAGAAACTAAAGAAACAAAAATGTCTGTTTTCAAGCACAGTGCAAGAAAGATCTACATACAATACTTTTTGTTTATAATTTAAAATTGATATGATAATTTATATGATAATTTAAAATTATTAAACAACATATTTCTCTAACTATAAATTACGTTTTTGTAGGCATGACTGAAAGAGAAACTGTTTTATAGAACTGTGAGTAACTTGCATAATCTTTACTCCTTCTGTACAATGGTGCTTGCCTGAAACGGCAACAAAAGTAACAAACAATGGCAGCAGAGAGAGGGGAAATCTATAACACATGGATGTCCAATTTCTAAGCTGCCAGGGACCTCCTTCTGTTCCCACCTACACACGCCCCTCTCCCCACTGCTTCACTGTACAAAGGAGGAAAAAAGAGCCTGGAGACTGGCTGCTTTTGCAGCCAGGAGCACATGGGAAGCAGCAGCCAGATGAGATGCTGTCAGATGCTTCAACAATGCAAAAAGACATGGGGAACGCTAGTATAGTGGGGAGTAGAAGTTCTAAAGCTGCTTCAGTCTACTTATCAAGGCCAGCCCGCCGACCTACTCCTTGCCCGGAGGCAGGGCTGGAGTGGAATCTGTGTCCCCTCGCCTACATTTCACCACTATCCTGGGACCCACTTTCTTAGCTGACTCTCCTTATGTTGGCCAGGGAGAACTATAATTCCCAACATAGGTTTACCACGTGAAGACATCCTACAATCAGAGGCTGCAGAAAAAGTCCCTACCATAGCTTGCAGGTAGGGGAGGCCTCTAGAGCTCTTTCTAGATATACTATGGAGAGAGAAGTATGGTAAGCCAGAAAGTGTGAAAGAAAAAAGGAGTGGTTCTATTAGGGCAGGTGTGAGCAATTATTTTGGCTGGAGGGCTGTTTAAGTTTTAGTGAGCTGCCAAGGGCTGCAAGGGTAGCTCCACCCCTTGACAGGTATTCTGCCCCCTGGTCGCCATCTTGGGACTGGAAGTCCTGCCCCTAACCTTTATCACCGGAAGTCCCTCCCCTTGCCACTAAAAGTCCCCCCCCTTCCCCCTAAAATTATTCCTCGGGGGGGGGGGTGCCATCTTGGAACTGGAGAAAAACCAAGTCATGCACTAGAAGTCAAACATCTACTATAATATTTTAATTTTATTACCAAAAAATATAAAAATATATATATATATATATATTTATATTGTGTGTGTGTGTGTGTCTTGATTTGTGTGTATTTGTGTAGTGTGTGTATATACATATATATATATACATATATATACACACACACACACACACACACACACACACACACACACACACACATATACACGGACACACATGTACACACGGACACACACAGGTGATGGCATAATAGTTCAAAAATAATCTTACTCTAGTATATTGTGCATGAGGGGTTTGTGGGGAAAGTGTGAGGTGTAGGGTGTATATATATGTTGGGGGTTATGGGCAGGGTAGGGGACCTCCCCACATGCCCCCCCAGGGCACACAGCCCTTCGCACTAGCAGCGGCAGCAGCAGGCAGTGGGTCTTCAAAGTGCTCATGGCCCATGCAGATGCCTGGAAGCACACAGCTCTAACCAGTTCTGGAAGCTGCATGTAGCAGCAAGAAGCAGAGCCAGACCAGCCTGCCTCTATTGCATGAGGCTCACATGCAGCTTCCAGGACTGTCGGGAAGTAGGAAGCGGGCTCACTGCCACTTCCAGTAGAGTCCTGGGGGTTGCACATGATGGCAGGGAACCCAGCCCTACTGCTGGCTCTAATGTGCAGGGCTTCCCCCCAGTGGCGCACAGGTCCAGGGAGCTGTACACGGGCTGCGGAGAGCCCTGTGCAACAGAGGTGGACTAACGGGACTCCGCTCCTTACCACCACGTGCAGCTCCTGGAACTGGCCATCAGGTGGCTATGCCTACGCGGGCCATAACTACCTCAAGGGCCAGCCACCTGCTGCTGCTGCCACCAATGGTAGGGGCTGATGTCTTGCTTACCCACAGGGTACGCATACCACAGTTTGGACACCCTGATTTAGAGGAAGCTAGCTAATAAGGTTCAGACAGCAAATCACCTTCAGCAATGTCTTGTTGCTCAAGTGTATTTGGCACGCTCCAAATACACAGTCTCCCTGAAGAGTCTCCTTGGATTAGAAGTTTATGGAAACATTCCCTGCGTCCATAGAAGAACCGAGTGACAGGAGGACAAATTAGTAACTGTAAAATAAAAGAAACACAATAACATTTTTAGATGCATGTAATAGGTGCCTAGCCTTAACAATAGCCTTTCTTCTCATCATCTACTCAACTGATTTTGCTATGAAAAAACAGGAATTGGAGAATAAAATGCCCAGAAGAAAACATAATCAACTTGCAGAGCACATTACAGATGTGCCATATATGAGGAATAAATGTTAAAATATGTATTTTAACGGCAAAAGAGAACTGAAGGTGTGACATATAGTTTAAGAAACAAATGTGATTAGAAATATGCTGTATTTGCTGTCTGTGTACAATGCAGGCTTCACTCTCTAAATGTAGAGCACACATAATGATTAAATTAAAACTAAATTTATTTTTGTAACCATCTTGGTACAAAATCATTTGTAAGGTAAACAAATACATTAATTTGTACATTTTTTTTTTTTTTTTTTTTTTTTTTTTTTTTTTTTTTTTTTTTTTTTTTTTAAGTTTCTCATTTTTTTGTAGCACCAAATATATCAAGGTCAAGTTATACAAGAGCAAGTTAATATATTTGGGCTTAAACCCAATAAACAATCTAGAAGTCCAAAATGTCCATGGAAATAGCTCCCATTAAGCAACTGTCTAACTTTAGGGCAGTGATTCTCAACCAGGGTGCCATGGCAAGCGAAAGTGCCATGAGATCATTTCAAGGGTGCCACGAAGTACCATGCAATATTAGCACTATTAGGTGTGCAAACATGATTCTCAAGATAAACCCAGAGATTACAAATAGGGAATCCACAGTGTTAAAAATATTTTGACCTGTTATGGTCTATCTTGGCACCTATACACATGACAGAGCTATGCTACGAGTCTACTGAAGCATGCTAATTAGCACGCTCCTACAGCCTCCACGTCACAGCATCCCTGCCACTTTAGTTAAAGTGCCCCTGCAGGCCACTTTGAAGCATGGGATGCTGAATATACATGATGCTGTGGGCGCTTTAATTAGAGAGGCTCTCAGAGCCGCTCTAATTAAAGCGCCCCCCCCCGAGCACGTGTATAGATACCCTTCGAGTCCTTTGCAACTGCTGTACTATTTTTCTGTAGGCAAAAACTGAATAAAAAAAACTAAGAGATGACATTTTCCAAGGGATGCTTCACGCCTAATGAGGGATGCAGCATTTAAAAAAAAAAGGTTGAGAACCACTGCTTTAGAGGAATATAAACTTATTAGACACTTCCCAGTTTGATTTTAGTGACCACCAGGCATCTAAGGTTGTGCTTCACCTCATGCCCTGAACTGTCCCACTTCAAGAAGTTCATCATTTTGTTCCTCACCTATCCCAATGAGCATCGAGAAACCACATATTTCTTTACCTATGTCCTCTAATGTCTAACATACACTGACAAAATCAAAGTGGTTTGGGATGCTTTCTTATAAAACAGGGCCCTGGAGAAGGAAGTGGTAGTGAAAGACCAGGTCACCTTTATACAATTGCTTTTAACTGGGGCATTCACACAAGAAATAGGAAACTTGGATTCAATTTTGCTTGGCATTAATGAACTGAAACCCCTAATCTTCTACTTCTAAGAGCACTATAACCACTAATTCATAGACTATTTAGGGTGAGAAGCACTCAGTTCCTCCTGC